GTCCCCTCCAGCCGCCGCCAAGATGGAGGCGGCCGCGGGCGGAAGGGCTCACCGCGGGCGCGCGCCCGCCCCTCTCTTGCAGAGCTGTTGCGCAGCCACTGGTACCTGTATTGGGGAAACATAGCGTACAAGCAAGACGCTCGCAGCCTCCGCGGCGAAAATTCTTTCATGTCAGAGACCGAGAACTCTTGCAGCCGTTTATGTCATCCCTTCTTCTCCAGACAGAAGATACCAAAAAGTTGCAATCAAAGATCCTTTCATCTTATTGATAAAGTCACTAATAAGCCAAAATGTCTGTCAACGTCAACCGCAGCGTTTCAGACCAGTTCTATCGCTACAAGATGCCCCGTTTGATCGCCAAGGTAACGCGGGCCTGCTGCTCCGGAGGGACGCGTCCGTCGCTCTGGGTGTGAAGGGTTGCGTTCGGTAGGGAAAGAGCGCGAGACTGAAGTTCTTGTTTCCTTCAGGTTGAGGGCAAAGGAAATGGAATCAAGACAGTTATAGTCAACATGGTTGACGTTGCAAAGGCGCTTAATCGGCCTCCAACGTGTAAGTAAACTTCGTGCAGAAGTCTGAATCGCTGCTTCGTGGATGTAATCCAGCAGTCCGGGCGTAGTGCTTGCAGTGTATGCTGGCTAGCTTAAGGGCCTGTGGAACTCTGGACTTTTAAGCCAGTTTATTGGTTGCCAAAACTTCATTGGACTGTTGCATTATTTCTATAGTTTTTTAAAGTTTTATTCTTTTTTATCAGTACGTGTTTGTCATGTTTTGTTTGTTTTGCCTTTTTTGAGACAGGGTTTCACTATGTAGTTCAGGCTGGCCTTGAACTCACTTTGTAGTCCCAGCTGGCCTCAGACTTGTAGTGATCCTCCTGCCTCAGCCTCCCAAGTGATGGGATTATAGGTGTGCGCCACCACACCCAGTTTGTCATGTTTATTGACAGCCTTCATCATAGGGAGTTTGTGCTTGTACATAGCAAGCACATCTCAATTTTCCCATTCCCTTCTGTTCCCATCAACCTTTCTTCCCCTCCCCATTTACACAAGCTGTGTTTCCATGTTTTCCTTCCATTTCTATTCCTTTGCCCTTTCCCATCCCTGTTCCCCTTCCCATTTGAACGTGTTCTTCTTACTTCCCAGTACCTACCTTCGTTATGTTCTTCATTTACCCTTTGGTTTCTCACACAGGAGAATAGCTGTGTAATTTTAAAATATGGTATAAATGTGGTTGGGAGCCAGAGACCAGTTAACTAAAGTATATACAATCTTTTAATAGATCCCACCAAATACTTTGGTTGTGAGCTGGGAGCACAGACCCAGTTTGATGTAAAGAATGACCGTTACATTGTCAATGGATCTCATGAGGCGAATAAGCTGCAAGACATGTTGGATGGATTCATTAAAAAATTTGTTCTCTGTCCTGAGTGTGAGAATCCTGAAACAGATCTGGTGAGTAAAGTTTTTGTCCATTAAAAACCTGTAGGTCTGCTTTTTATGATCACTTCTGGGTAACACCAAGTCACATCCCAGAGAAGGCATAGCAGATGGATGCTGTGCCGCTGAGCCATATCCCCGGTCCTGGCGTAGCGGAGTTAATTGCAAGTAAAGTGCAAAACCTCAGATTTTGGAAATAATTCTATATGTCACTGTGAAAAAGTACTTACATTTTAAGCTAGTGTTGAAGTGTTTTCTGAAAATTTCACACTTCGTTCTATAAATTTGTATTGAGATTTCATCTTACATTGTGATTGATGACGTACTTGTTTTTACTTTTTGGCAGCATGTGAATCCGAAGAAGCAAACAATAGGTAATTCTTGTAAAGCCTGTGGCTATCGAGGCATGCTTGATACACATCATAAACTCTGCACATTCATTCTCAAAAACCCACCTGGTAAGTCTTTGTAATAAACTTCCCAGGTCTTAACATCAAGCCAGTAATTGTTGTAAACAAAAGTAGGAGATTCTTGTTACACAGTCAGTGTTAGGAAGTAATAGTCCTTCTGTTGTTTATTGGCCTGAAGACTTCAGTAGGGGCCTTACCCCAAGCTGGAGTGGCCTTGGAGCACTGCAAGCAACACTCTGTGGCAGATTATCAAAATAGTCTGGCACAATTTGAGCTTGCTACAGCAAGAAAGTCTAACCTATTCCGGAACTCTCCCCTCTATGAGATGGCCCGTTATATAGACTTAAACAGTGTTGACTGCTGGGTGAGCGACAGCTGTCTTGTACCACCTCCCAACAGAGGAGACTCCTGGTGTTCGGTGTCACATCATTTTCTGCCTGGGTTTATTAAACTCTGGGAAATGGGAGGGCATGGATTTGATCTTAGAAGGCCCTTAGAATTAGCATTTTGTTTGTATTATTTGAGGAATCAATAGCAAGAAGTAAGGACTTTAAATTTTTTGGTAGTGTTACAAGCTGTGGAACTAAATTTTTATTGCCCTGCAGAGAATAGTGACAGTGGTACAGGAAAGAAAGAAAAGGAAAAGAAAAACAGAAAGGGCAAAGACAAGGAAAACGGCTCAGTATCCAGCAGTGAGACGCCACCCCCACCACCCCCAAGTGAAATGAGCCCTCCCCCTCGGGCTGTGGAAGAGGAGGAGGATGACGACTGGGGGGAGGATACAACTGAGGAGGCTCAGAGGCGCAGGATGGATGAGATTAGCGACCACGCCAAAGTCCTGACGCTCAGTGACGATCTGGAGAGAACCATAGAGGAGCGTGTGAACATCTTGTTTGATTTTGTTAAGGTATAAAATGTACTTAATCCACAATGAGCTTCAAGCCAGCCTTTGCTGTTTTGACAGATGTTTATTACTATCACTTGGGTAATTGTTTAAATAACTTTATCTGTGGTTTCTTGAATACTGCAAGGCTTATGTTCAATTTTTCTTTATTTAAGATATTTTTAGAGGGGGATTTCAGATACTGTCTAGGAATTGTGTATCGTTTAGAAATCATAAATTAGATTGGAAAAAGTCAGGAGAGCAGGTACTGTCTGGTATGTCTAGCCAAGTGAGATATGCTTGCTTTTTTCTGAATTGTTTGCTGTTTGTTTACAGAAAAAGAAAGAAGAGGGCATTATTGACTCGTCTGACAAAGAAATTGTTGCTGAAGCAGAAAGACTAGATGTAAAAGCCATGGGCCCTCTTGTTCTGACTGAAGTTCTTTTCAATGAGAAGATTAGAGAACAAATTAAGAAATACAGGCGCCATTTCCTCAGAGTAAGCAAGTTGTTTTAGAGCCATAAGAGATTACAGCTGTGTGATTGGAACTGCCTTAATCGCTTTTGCTCGTTCTTCGCTATTGTACATTGACCCAGCCTAGCGCCTGTGAATGGCTACAAGTACTGCACGTTGGCTTTTACAGATAACGTTGTATAAAACCTCTTTTGTGTTGACTTTTTCATGTGACTGGAGATTGAAGTCAGAGCCTTGGCACTTGGCTGCATTCTGGGTCCTTTTTAAATTTTGAGATTGGGTCTCAGCAAGTTGCTAGGTTGTGCAGGCTGAGCTCAAACTTGCATCCCCCGCCTCGGTCTTGCAGAGTGCTGGGGTTCCAAGTGTGCGTGGCACCATTCACAGATGTGTATGGACCTTGTCAAACCGTTGTTGAATGGGCCGTATCTTAAAATCTTACTCCTTTCTTTGTGGTGCCGGGGATGGCACTCAGTCTCACATATGCTGGGCAAGCGCTTGTGACACTGAGCCACGTTTCCCACAAGAAACAGTCTTAAAATCAGTGTATTTGGATATTGAAATTGCCAACTTAAAACATGTGAAGAAGCTCCTAATCCCAAATTATCTGCTTGCAGTTCTGTCACAACAACAAAAAAGCTCAGCGGTACCTTCTTCATGGTTTGGAGTGTGTGGTGGCCATGCATCAAGCTCAGCTCCTCTCCAAGATCCCGCATATCTTGAAGGAGATGTATGATGCAGACCTTTTAGAAGAGGAGGTCATCATCAGCTGGTCAGAAAAGGTGGGGGTACTGAGTGGACCATTCAGGGTCAGAAGTATTGAAACAGTTTTGGGGATATGAGGTGACTTCACACTCTTTAAAAGTCTTCCCTAAAAGTACCGTATGAACTTCGTTTAGGCCTCTAAGAAGTACGTTTCAAAAGAACTTGCCAAAGAGATTCGTGTCAAAGCGGAACCATTTATAAAATGGTTGAAGGAGGCAGAGGAAGAATCTTCTGGTGGTGAAGATGATGAAGAAGATGAAAACATTGAGGTAAACTAAGGAAGGAGTGCTTGAAATTCAGGTTTGGGAGTGGTAATGTAAAGTGACAATTTGGAATGATTCTAAATTTAAGGTTAAAACTGCAATAAAATAGAGCCTCAATAATGTGCATACTAATGACAGTAATAGAGTTATAGAACTCTACCCCAAAGTTGACCCAGTAGAAATATCAAAGCTGTGCTGTAACCTCAGCACTCTAGTAGGGTGAGGTGTGAACAGTTGCAAATTCAAGCTTGCAAGTTGGAGCGCAGGCTGAGTACATACATAAGGAGACCCTGTTGCATGGGGACCTTACCTCTTAATTTGGGTTTATCATAAGTTTTGCGAAGAATGATAACTGCCGGGCACAGCAGCCTCTGCCTGTAATCCCAGCACTCACGCAACGGCCAGGCTGAGGCCCCTTAAAATTGCCGTGCCCTGTTTGTGTAACTTACACAACCATGGTATAAGCTTACATTCTTTTAGAAATAAAAATGTGCTTATCACTCCCCAAAGAATGATGATAGTGGAGCCTAAGTTGAACACTTAGATTTAATTTTCTTTCATGAAATCATTTCTTCTACCAGGTGGTTTATTCAAAAACTGCCAGTGTGCCGAAAGTTGAAACTGTGAAGTCTGACAACAAGGATGACGACATTGATATTGATGCCATTTAAAAGGATGGGTGTGACCTAGCTAACAGTGTAATACTGCAAATTGTTCTCCATTATCCGCCAGAAGTGCAACATGTACGTGCAGAAGCTAAAATGGCTTAACATCGTGCTACACTTTATACTAAAAATCTGTTACTGTGAGTGGTCTGTAACTAAGCCCAGTGAGACATCTAGGGAGTCCATACACATCAGTGAGCAGATGTAGTTTGCTTATTTATAGCATGTTTCCTTTGAAAAAACTAGTGGTGGACACGTTTGGATCACATTTATACAGTTATAAAAATAAAGATTTGATTTTGGTCACTCTTGAGATTTTGGGCTCTGAATGACACTAAGTAATTGGCTCCTTTTTAAGACGTCACACCATCATTTGTGCTGATTGGGTCCTGGAGCCTGGTAGGTTCTGCTCAGCCTGAGACCACCAGGATGTTGAGCAGAGGGCAAACATAGACTAACTTGCAGTCACACTCGCAGGCATTCAGGGTGAGCACTCTGTTTGATCACTAGCCCGCCAAATTAGCATACGGTAATTCGGAAGCCAGTGCAGCATCCTAGCTGAGAAGTAAAAGTGACCTGAGTGTCCTATAAATAATTAAAGAGCAAATTTTGAACCTTGGGATTGTGGTTTTCCAGTTCATGTATATTTACCCCAATTTTGGTCTTCAGAGTCAGGTGCGTTGCACGTTGGATGAGCGAGGGAAATCACTAATCTGCAAACAAGTGTTCTCTGTGTATGTAGTGCTTATTCTGAGAAAATTGAGATTTTTCAGGTGTGACTAAACTTAATGATTTTGGGGGAAACAGGTGCACTTAATTTAGCAAGAGCTGAGCATAGTTTCTCAGCTTTTATCCTTAAGATTTAAATTATAATTTCAAAATGTTTATATTGTATCCTGTGTTGGGTTTTTCTCTTCCTCTGATATTAAGGTTTATTCTTTAATACCTTTTACTTTTGGACACATAGCTTAGCCACTTTACATTTTGGTTGCTATTTTGTCAAAATAAGTGTTATTTTGTTAAGCTTGGACCCCTCCCCTCATGTTTCAATTAAAGAGAAATGAAGTTAAAAAGCATACTTTCAAGGCAGAGCCTTTATTTTGGTGTAAGAATTTGGGGATTGTCTTCCACAGTAGGTTCAGCTGGGCACCTGAGGGGTCTGGATGGTGGCCACTGAGTGTGGGTGACAAGGTAGTACCCAAGTGTGAATTCCTTGCTTCCCAGTTAGCCGATGTAAATCCACTTGCTGGGGGTTCAGACCACGTTTGAGTAATCTTTAAGAAAATCTGCATTTGTTTCTTCCCACAAAAAGTGAACTCTGGGAGTCGAGAGCACATGTGGTTAATTCTGTGTGGAGCACGGCTCACATTATCGCCTCCTGTTGCTTTGTGATCCATCTAGATCTTAATAACAAATGTGTATGTAAACATTTTTCACATTGAAATTACAAGATATTTGATAAAAATAAAACCCTGTTAGCTTGCTGTTTTAAGGGATTAAGACTTAAGGATCTCATGAAGAGAACTGCTCTCCATTGACCTTTTGCCAGGTTCTGGTGAGTGGACCAGGATCTGTTGGGGGTTGTGCCAGCCAGGACAGGGCACTCTTGGAAGTGCATGTCGTGCATTTTCCTTGGCATCAGATTGCTGCCTCGAGGCCCCCTTGTGTGCTCACCCCCCAGTGCCAGGATGCTGAGGGCCTGCTTGCAGGCAGGACTGCAGCTTCCTCTTCGAAGGGAAGTGTGTCATCTTTGAAACGCTGACTGGTTGGGGGCTTAAACCAGACACGGTCCAGGGCCGGACTTCAGTGGGCTTGGAGGTGGTTTTGTTTTGTTCACAGCTTAGCATAATAGAGTAATCCTTTACTTTGTTCTAATGGGTTGTCTTAAATTTATTTTCCTGTTTAAAACGGCTACATTACTTGATTAAAATACTTAAAAATTCTATTTGTCTCGCATTAATACTAAACTTCAGAAGTTATTGTTTTATAATAAGATCAGAACATGGAACCCATCCTGTCTTGTAGCTGCCAAGTTTATATTGGATGTTCCTTCGGTACGGGTCATTGTCCGCCCTGCACACAAAGCATGTTCATTGCAGTGGGTCGCTGGCTTCTTTAGCTTGGTCTTGGTTCTGGCCGTAGCACAGGCTGACTGAACTGTAAGTCTGCCTCCATTTTGTTCTTGGAAAAAATGTTTTGAGGTGCTGTCCTCACACTTGTGCTGCTCTTCCTGCCTCAGCCTCACTCATGCTAGAATTACAGGCATGTGCCCCAGCACCTGGATTTAGTTCAAGACTTCAAACAGTGGTAAGTGGGATACAGCACAGGTCTTGAGAAAGTGAACAAAGCAAGTTCGTGAACGGGCCCTTTAGGAGTTGACACATGGCAGGTGGTATAACTTAATCCTCAAGGGCAGAGGGTATTTTCAATCTTTGACTTGTCTGAGAAGTGGGATACTGCTGTTGGGCCCAGCTGGCCTCCAGTGTACTGAGCACTGACTCCAAAAGCTGTTGACCCAGGAAAGTTGCCCTCTGTTAAATAGGTTTTCAGGTCAGTTTAAAGCCTATTTTCTGTCCTATCAGTCCTCAGTGATCCTGGGTACAGGAGTTACGGTTTCAAGGTTGGTCATCATCCAATCATTTGGTCTCTGCAGTGACAAAAAACTTATCTCAGGCCAACTTTAAAAGAACTACACAGTAACTGGCTGGGCGAGGTAAGAGCATTCCTGTAGTTGCAGCACTCCAGAGGCTGAGGCAGGAGCATCTCAGAGGTTACCCTGGGTAACATAATTCAGGGTCAGCCAGATCTGCATAGCAAGATCCTGTCTGAAAAACAAAACTACACAGTAAAAAAAACATGAAGATACGGGCTGTAACTGCAGACAGTCTTTTTCCATGTAAAGTATTTCTGTAGTGTAACAACCTGGTAGTATTCCCTAGTAACCCAAAACTGCAAAACTGACCTGTCCTGCGTTGAGAGTCTGTAGGACAAGGCTTTTGTTTCCCGCGGCCGCAGAGGGGTGCTGGGAGCAGCGTGCACTCTGCTTCTTCCCTAGGAGCAGTCAGGAGGAGGGTGCTTCTCGGATGAGCCTGAAGCTCGGGTAGCTCTGCTGGGAGGAGGGCTGTGCTTCCCGGTGTGCAGGCTGGTGGAAGACCGTTCAGGAGTAACTCCCCTGAAGCTCATGACAGCCGGGAAGCCAGCAGTGCGTGTGTGTGAGTGTTGGTGTGGTGGCCACGGGAGTTGCTGTCCTGGCCTAGACTGGTGGCTAGGTGGGTCTGGGTGAGCCAGAGCTGGCCTTGGGTCGTTCATTCAGTGGGGTTAGGCGAGAGTACTGCCAGGGCTTGCATGCTACGCGGGTCCCTGTCTCATGGGCTGAAAGCCACCGGGACCCTGACCCTGGGCCGCGAGGTGGCTTGGGCCTCCTGTGCTCCGCCTCGGTGCCAGTGCCTGAGTTGAAGTCGGCAGAGGGCAGCTGAGAGGCAGGGTCCCCTGGCAGCGACGCGGTGGCTACGGTCTTGTCTTTGGCCCCAGATGTCCCAGGGGTGGTTGCTGTCAGACTTCAGTCTGCGGCGACACCAGGTGAGCCCGCTGGGTGGACCTGGGCAGGCCACGTCCCCGGATAACGGAACAGCTACGAGCAGCTGTGGCCAGTGCCAGCCCAGCCGCCTGGCGTGCCGAGGCCCCAGTGGGCGTCATGAGCTGAGAGGCTCTTACCTTGCTGGCAGAGGGCAGCCAAGGGCCCCTGACGTGTCACCCAGCTGGGGACGGTGGGCCTGGAAGCAGCCTTTGATTGGACAGAAAGGAGTGTGCCTTGCCACTGAGGGCTCCAAGTGAGGCAGCCTGCCTGGCCAACTGGGGAGGGGGCGGGGGGAGAGTGTGTGTGCCTGGGAGGACCCCAGCTCTGCCCAAGCCCGCACTCCGCAGCGGACGCTCAGCGTCCCCGTGCCCAGCCACAGGAGCTGACCTGGGGAGCGGTCACGGTGGGGCCGGACGGAGTTGGGGAGCTCAGCAGCTCCAGAGGCCCTGGGGGTGGGAGGTTGGAGCTGAAGGGACTGTCAGGCAGAAACACCTGGCGGGCAGGGAGCCATCCACAGCGCTCCTTGCGCCCTGTGCCTGCCCGTGCCCCCTCAGGCCCGCCCTCACTGACTCCAGGCTGACCCGCTCCCAGGCTGAGGGGGATGCTGGGAGCACAGGGTCATGGGAGAGGCTGCCCTGGAACTGGCTCCCGTGATGGACAGGAGTGGCTGTCAGCACTGTTCAGAGCTTCAGTGCTCAGCCTGACAGAAAGGCTTGGGCTGGCCCTGCCCTGCTGCTGGGAACTGGGGGCCCGCAGAGGGGGGCTCATGGAGGAAGTGGGCCTGGCCGGCCCTTCCTCTTCTGCCTTGGCTTCCTGACCCCTGTGATCGCCTGCCTCAGGCTCCAAGCTGACAGACGAGCGCTGTGGGCCAAAACCTCTGAAGCTGTAAGGCAAGATTTCTCTCTCAAATCGATCGTCTCACTTTGTCACAGCAACGGGAAGCTGCCCAGCACACGGGAGAAAGTGGTGGGGCGTGCCTGCAGGGGGGCTGGTCCAGGGCCTCCTGGGCTGAGGCTGGGGAGGCGGCAGGCCCCAGGGCCAGCTTCTGGCTGCCCGGAGGGAAGTGCTGTAGGAGTGAGAAGTGACCGGAGGGGCCCTGTGTGGCTTCACCCTGGCAGCACCTAGAGGGGGCGGGCCGGGCTCTAAGTGCCCTTGAGCCCGAGCCGGAGAGATGCTCAGGCCCAGCCTGGCCCAGCTCCACAGGCAGCAGTACAGCCTCCCTTGCTGCCAGGGCGCTGTCAAGTGCCTACCAGAGGTTCAGGGTGACTTCCAGGTTGCAGGTTCAGGGTCCTCAGATGGGACCGTAGACCCTCTGTGTTAACCAAGTTCTGATGACAAAGTGCAGAGTCACCTAAGGCTCACAGCACAAACCTGGCCTTGTGGTCGCTGTGTGATACCAACTAGGACATTCTGGAGGGGGCGGAGACTGTGGAGACAGAGATGAGTGGTGACCAGGGTTACCAGGGAGGGTGGAGAGGAACACAGGATTTTTAGGCTGGTGGAGCCACTCTGGTTCTTTTCAGAGGAGGGGGATAGTGTTTTACTTATTTTAAAAATTATTTCCATTGTTATTTTTTGCAGACAGAGTCTCGCTGTGTAATTCAGGTTGGCCTTGAACTCACTGTAGCCAAGGCTGGCCTCAAACTTTGCAGCAGTCCTCCTGCCTCAGCCTCCTTAAGTGCTGGGGTTATAAGCCTGCACTACCACGCCCGGCCTGGTGGAGCGACTGAGTGTCATTACACATGTGGCCAGCACCCAAGACCCTAGTGTGCACCCTGCTCACCCAAGGTGTGGTGCACCACCCCAGAGCGTGCTGGCTGTGGTGAGGGAGCACTTGGGGCACTTCTGCTGCGTTTTGTATTGAACCTAAAACTTGCTTTTTAAAAAGCACCTTTTTTTGAGATAGGGGCTTGCTATGCAGTCTAGGGTGGCCTTGAATTTAAAGCAGTTCTCCTGTTTCAGCCCTTGAGGGCTGGGATTATAGGCATGCATTATCACACCCAGTTTAAAAAAAAAAAACTTTGGGTTTTTTGTTCTTTTTTTCCAAAAAGGAGAGAACCTATACATGAAAAAGCCAGAAGATCTGAGAGTGAGCTGTAATAAATCAAAACACATTTAACACACGAATGAAATTAGCCAGTGAGGTGAAGACAGTTGTGGTATCTTTTGTTCCCTGTGAGGGGGTCTCACTGTGGCCGGGTCTCACACTGCTGGGCTGCAGTGGTCCTCTTGCCTCGGTCTCCTGAGTAGCACGCGCCACCTCACCCAGCTTTGTAAAATCCAATGCTTTCTAAGTCTGGCAACGTGCTGTTTATAAGAACATCAGCCAAGGGGTAAGAACAAAGTCAAGTAAAAGGATAGAAAAATGCTGTTGTAGGGTAGCCTTCACTCACCAAGAATAGCTTTTAGTGTTTTGTGTTTTTTTTTACAGTACTGGGAATTGAACTCACAACCTTGCGCTTGCCAGGCAGGCGCTGTGCTGCTGAGCTAAACCCCCAGTCCTGAGGATAGCTTTCAGGAGCTCTGACAAAGATGTTCTGAGGGTGTTTTTTTCGTTTTGTTTCTTTTTTTTTTTGTACTGAGAACTAAACTCAGGGCCTTGCTAGGCAGGCATTGCAGTGCTGAACTACATCCTCTAAAAGAGATTTTTAATGAAAAAATTGGAATAAAAATTGAACAAAATGATAAAATAATTGATACATAAAAAATAACAGTTCTGGCAGGGCTTGGTGGTGCACACTGTAATCTCAGCATTCAGGAGGCAGAGGCAGGAGGATTGCTGCAAATTCAAGGCCAGCCTGAGCTACATAGTTCCAGTACAGCCTGAACTATACAGGAGACCCTGTCTCAAAAAATAAACAATAACAACAACAAAAATAGCTCTAGCTAGATGTGTTGGCACATGCCTGTAATCCTAGCACCTGGGATGCTGAGGCAGGAGTATCCCAAGTTTGAGCCCAGACTGGACAACTTAATGATACTGCAAGACCCCATCTCAAAATAAAAACGCAAAGGGGTGGGGGCTGGGGATGCAGCTCAGTGCAAAGGCCTTGTGTTCAGTCTCTGGTGTCAAAAAGAAAACAAATTCTAGCCAGAGCTATTGCTCAGTGGTAGAGCAGTGGCTTAGCATGCACTGTGTGCGGGCCCTAGGTTATATCTCCAGCGCTGTGCAAGAGAGAACAGTTTGACCATTGACTGCACCTGGTAAAAACCCCGAAAATGTCAAGCAAAAGGTAAGAGGAGCACTGCAATAAAACGTGCAGCGTGCCCACCGCTGTGTTGCGAACTGTGAACTGACACCACAAGGTCCAGCCAGGTGGAGCACCCGGAACTCCGCAGGCCCACTGGCTTCCCAGAGATGGCGCA